ACACCTTAAGTACTGTGTTCACTTTTGGGCCCCTTACTACAAAAAAGACATTGAAGCCCTGGAACATGTCCAGAGAAGGGCAACGAAACTGGTGAGGGGTCTGAAGCACAAGTCTTATGAGGAGTGGCTGAGGGAGCTGGGATTGTTTAGTCTGTAGAAGAGGAGGTTCAGAGGAGACCTTATTGCACTCTACAACTTCCTGAAGGGAGGTTGTGATGAGGAGGCGTTTGGCCTCTTCTCCCACACAACAAAAGGACCTGAGGAAATGGCTGCAAGGTGTACCAGAGAAGGTTCGAGTTAGACATAAAGAAGAACTTTTTATCTCAGACAGTGATTAGACACTGGAATGGTCTGCCCATGGAGGTGGTGGAGTCACCGACTCTGGCAGTGTTCAAAAGGCAGCTGGATGAGGAGCTACGAGATATGGTTTAGTAGCTTGTGGTAGCAATGGTAATGGGAGGACGGTTGGATTAGATAATCTAGAAGGTCATTTCCAATCTTGTGATTCTGTGATTTATAAAATGAGAAATAACAAAGTGAAACCTCTGCCAAGAAACACAAATTTAAGTAGATGTAATTGCAGATATATTAATAGAAAAAAAAAAAAAAAAAATCAAAAATCTAGTTAGGCAGCATAAGCAGAAATTTAGAGATTTGTTTTCATTCATAAAAAATTAATTTTGCCAGGAATTTTAACAACTGTGTTTCAGTTTAAAAGTTCACTAGTAATTGGAATGATAGTCTCATCCATTCAACCATGTATTTTTTACATTTGTCTAAAAATTTAAAATATTATTCAGTGTTTGCTACCTACTCTTCTGATTTCTGAATTTCTTTCAAGTCCTAAAGACCTCTGAAGAACTACAAACAATCATGATTATTTACACGTTTCTCAGATTGTGGCAATGTTCTCAAGGTTTTGGAAATTTTCCATCTTAGTTTACAAAGACAGAACAAATAGTAATGTGCTTGAGAACAAGATATACAATAATTATTAGATCAACAAGAGAGACATTTTCCACAATAGCATATTGTTTTATATAAAAACTTCAAAAAACTTAACTTTTCCTAGCTGACAAATAACTCTATTGATTTTGCTGTTATCAACGCAAAGCCAAAAATGCAACTTGCCAAGACATCTGTCTGCATGACAAAGCATGGTGCTCTGAACTGGGGCAATTTCTTATTTTCCACTGTTAGTATTTTGAAATATTAGTTTTCTTATGTGGGGTTTTTAAATGTATTTTTAATTAAACTAAATATATCATTAACATACTGGTATATTTATTTCAAGATTGTGATCTGAAATATCCAGTTTCTCTCACAAAGTTTACTGGAATATTCCCAGGTCTTGAATGTTGCTTAATGAGAACTCTTGTTGAAAAATAGCAGTATTCCTCAACATCTGAATAGAGTTTATCGTAGTTAACAAAGTTGGAGTGCAATGCTCCCTTATTTTGATTAGTTAGCTAGTTCTTTCCTTATAATTTAACAGATAAGAAGCAACCAAACAGTTTTGTCACAGACTTAATATGAGGTTCCTCTTGCTTTCAGTATATTATTGCATTGTCACTATATATCCTGTTGTGACAATTTTCTTTTATAAGCCATCATGAATTTTAAAGGTGATAAAGCACTGGGACAGGATAACGCAGAGAGATTGCAGAGTCTCCTTCTCTGGAGATATTCCAAAACAGCCTTCAACCTAGTCTTGGGAACCTGCATTAGCAGGAGTCTGTACTAAATATTCTTCAGAGGTCCCTTCCAGTCCCTATGCTTCTGTGATTCTCTGGTCTCATAAATAGACAAAAAAGATAAAAAAAAAAAAAAAAGCATTTGCAAACAATTTCTGCTAAGGTACTTTAGAGTAAACATTTCCAAATGCAATGAGAAGAGAAAATCTGAGTGGAAAATAAACACAAACAAAAACAAGCAAAAAAAAAAATTGTTTCTTTTCTTTTTACATTTTTCATTATATATATTAATGTGATACTACTGTTATAATAGGATCTTAAGGTCCCACTGAGGGTAAGCAGAGTTTTCAGCAGGAATAGAATCAAGGATTATACAGATAACACCTTCATTATCTCGGCTGTCCTAGAAAATAATAAAGCCTAGAGGAGTCACACAGACATTTATAAATAAATTGTGTAAATACTTTTTCTGAGTCATTTCAGGATGGTTCTAACTTTCTTCATGTGGCACTGTGTTTTGTATTCTTGGCTAAAACAGCATTGATACCACATCCACTGCCAAACTGTGCCTACCCATCATCAAGACTTCTTATTTTTTCTTTTCCTACCCTGCTCTCCCTCTTCTCTCTAGAAAATAGACAGGAACTGAGCAAGAATATAGGAGGAGACATAGCCAGGACATCTGGCTAAAACTGGCTAAAGGAATATTTCATAACATTTAATGTCAAGCTCAGCAATAAAATCTGGGGTAGAGGAAGAACAAGATGTGGGGATATTGTTTTCAAGGTGGGGATATTGTTTTCAAGGTAGCCATTGATCAGAGATGTTGGTCTGCTTGTTGAAAGCTGTTGCCTTTTCTTGGTGTTACATTTATTTTCTCTGACTTACTAAGTTACCTTTATTTTGACCCGTGTTTTTTCTATTTTGGTCTTCCTGTTCTTTTCCCCCTCCTGTTGAAGACAGAAGAATGCATAAACATCTGTGTTTATAACTGCTTAACTGCTGACAGGAATCAACATGCTACAGCATTAAATAATTTCATCCAAATTTCAAATGACAACCCTAAAGGTTCTGACAGCTTCTGTGTGGAAAATACCTTACTAATACTTCTAATAACAGAGAGGCTTCAAAATGAGCTTACTCCTTTTGTCAAAGAATTTATGTAGCAATACAATTTTAATACCCAGACCACAAGAAACAAAACCTCTATTGCTCCCCTGACACTATAACCTGCTTAATTATAGCTGTTTCTTCCAGTTAAACTAGTTTTGTTCTGTAACTGTTTCTGCTCATTTCTCCATTGCAGGGTTGCTGATGGGATGACAGGAGCTTCTATAGAATTGGTTGAGGTTCATCAGGAGACACAGTATTGTTACTTTGCATATCAAACGTGATATACTGCTATCAGAACAGGAAGAAACATGATTGCCACTTGATACCAGGCATTCATATAAAGAACAGAGACTTTTGTAGACCTCTACTTCTCCAGAGTTCAAGACACAGGGACAGATGGTTTTGGACTGATGTCATTTTTTTTTCCCACACTAGAGAGATTTTCTCTGAGAATCTTCTTAAATTTCCACTTAATGTGCATAAGAGAAGTAAAGCCATTTCTTCATAAATGCAGCCAGAGAATCAATTAATTGTTCTGAAGAAAGGTTGATTTCAGGACACGTTCATTTACTACACAAGCAAGATAACACCATCTCTTATTCATAAATTTTCTCAATCAGCTAGTAGAGTGCCCAGTGTTGTCACTGTCACTACATGATAGTTACAGCCACATAGTCAAAATCTGTATCTGACTTTGATAGTGCAGAAGTAGATGTTTAAAAAGACTCCATATCTCTACTAAAAGTGCCACATAACATAAAAGAAACTGACAAGAAGCAAGTATTAGTACTAACATGCTTCTTTTTCAAGTCTTTGCATTTTATTCTGTAAAAATACATTGTCAGTGTTTTATATCCTGTTGAATCATTTATCATAAGAATTATCACTGCTGATGTTTTTCCTCCAGTACTTATGTAAGAAGTTACTGCATTGCAGTGTTATAGTTTTAATACCAGCAGGCAGGTAAATAATGCGCAGAATGACTTGTTCATTCTTGCCAGGTGGGATGGGAGAGAAAATTGAAAAACAAAGTCTGAAAACTCATAGATTGAAATAAAGATACGTTAATGAGTAAAGTAAATTTGTGTGTGCAAGCAAAGCAAAATAAGGAATGACTTCATTATTTTCCATTGAGAGGAAGGTATTAATTCACATTCAGGAAAACAGGGCCCATCATGCATACCAGTTTCTTAGGAAGACAAGCTACGTCACTGCAAATGTTCACTTAGTTCTCATTTACTAAATAAACATGCTTGACTAGATGAATCAGAAAAAGTTATATAACATTTACTAGAGGAAAAAGGAAAGTAAAACTGAGTACAATATGAATATTAAAACAGCAGGATGAGGGGAAATGCTTTTAAGTTGAGGGAGGGAAGATCTAGGTTGGATGTCAGGGGGAAGTTCTTTACAGAGAGAGTGGTGAGGTGCTGGAACAGGCTGCCCAGAGAGGTTGTGGATGCCCCGTCCCTGGAGGTGTTCAAGGCCAGATTGGATGGGGCCATGGGCAGCCTGGTCTAATATTAAATGAGGAGGTTGGTGGCCCTGCATGTGGCAGAGGGGTTGGAGATTCATGATCCTTGAGGTCCCTCCCAACCCTGGCCATTCTGTGATTCTGTGATTATGTTGTAAGGCTCTAATCAGAGTACCAGAGTGAATTTAGAGCTTAGTCAAGTCACTTTGAAGGCTTTAAATTCAGGGCAGAATGACTGATCAGTGGGGGGAGAGGAAAGGGGAATGAAAAAAAAAAAACAAACATGCTGGTATGATGGTCAGTATAAAGATTATAAATATTTTATGAAGCCCTCCTGTAATAGCAAAGAATTATTCTAGAATTATTCTATTTATCATCTTTAGCATTCCTCATCATCTCCAACTCAACTACTCCACACTCAGAAGAGGAAGAATCTATGTAGATTAAAAAATATTTTTACATGATCACTCTTATTTTCTCCTAATACTTATATTAAAATGAACTTTTGAAGGCAGTAAATTTTTCCCTTAAGATACAGAAGTCCTGAGAGGTTCTCACCTGAGAGGTTCTATGCCCTTAGTCAACTATGTGTACATATATATATATATGCATTTATTACAATTTAATAATTTATAGTATTTCCCAATTTTACCAGTAGAAATGAGAAACTTGGGACCCTGAGAAAGATATATAGTATGAAGTAATAGAATGGAAGACAGAAGAGGTCCAAAAACTATTCAAGGAGAAGAGGGTAGAATACTTTGTAGCTTGAATTAGGAGAGATTTTTTTCACTGTGCATTATATAGGCAAGAGAAGGAAAATAATGCTCTTGTTTGAGAGTAGATCTGATGCAAAACACTATACTCTGTCAATATACATGCTTCAATCTGATGCACTGACAGTAAAAGCTCTACAGCAATGTAACATAGCTACTTTCTATTTACCACACAGTGTAGTCCTAGACCCTAGGACACACCTAAAATGGATTGGGTGATAGGAACAAAAAATGAAAAGTTAAAAAGATCGGGAAGTTAGAAGAATGAAATTGAAAATATATATGTATATATGTAAGGAGGAAATCATATAAGAAAAATTTTCTTATATACTTTTGCACTGTACCAAACATTAGCTGTTACAAGTTCTATATTTTTCATTTACAAATGGTAATACAGAACAATTCATTAGAAAAATAATGTAATTTTTTAAAGCATAATATCCAATGTCTGAAGAGAGGCCACATAAGGCCCGTGGCAGACTAGACTGGAAAAAGATGTATTCTTGTCAATTGTTTAGAAATGATTAACGGCAAGATTCAGTAAAGAACTCAGGGCATGCATTTGAAATCATAAATTAGAAATACCCATTCAGCTGCCACAATCTTGAATGGTATCTACTCTACATCCTTATCTCCATTTTTGTCTGTCCAATCTTTGGGACTGGAGCTACACTGCTGCAGAGACGTAGTCACCATACTTTTGGCAACTAAATGCCTAGTCTAACAGAACTACGTGTCAGGTTTACAAAGTGCAAGGTGAGGTTCTACTCATTTCTCTTTCCAACTTAGTGTTCCAGGCCTAATGACATTGCTTTTCTTGTACCCAAATTTGTTTCAATTTATCTCAATACCAGGCAACAAATAAACAAACAAAAAAACCACAAACTGAGTTAATGAAATATGCTAACATCATAATATCTGGACAGGTTGATGATACACTGTAGATCTCTCTATTCAGAACTGAGTCTCAACCTGTGAACAGAAACACAGAACTATTAGATAATTTGACAGTTGTTTCCAATATTAAAGGTTATTATGTTCACAGACTTTAAAAACTATTTTACTAAACATCTGTGAAGAAAATTTTAAATCAAATTATAATGCTGTTGTAATACTTTACTAATCCTTGAGAACTCGTTATCATTAAAGTTAATGCAGATTTCTTCTCTGCAGAATCTGAATGTCCTCTTAGATAAATTTTAGTGTTTATCTGTCTCCAGAAGTTCTTTTTTTTTTTTTTTTTTTTCATCACATCAAGAATAATTAGTTTCAAGATGAATGTCAATCAGCCCCAGTATTATTCATTAATCCAAGCCATTCAGACTATGGACGCAGAATAGCTGGATGTCTATTTATTTATCCACGTTGAGAGGTGGTACTTGTGGGTGCAAGCTTGAAAATAATTATTTGTAGCTCAGGTCTAAGCTGCATTCAATACAATGAAAATACAAGTATTAAAATAGTACCACTGGTAAGAAAAACAAGTAGTAGAAAAACAACACTGTCAGAAAAAATATCTCCCTCACAAATCTAAATTAATGAGGATGATCAGTATCCTTTGTGCAGCTATAAGATTTGAGAAAAAAAATATATATATAAAGAGAGTGGGTTACAGGATAAGAGAAAAAAAGCATTTCTGTAGTTTTCTATGTGTGGAAATAACAAATCAGGTTTGCTAAACTTTAGAAATAATGAAATTTGAATAAAAGGGTTAAACATTCTCATCTAAGTGGGCACAGAGCCAGGGAAATGTTGCAAAACAATAGAAATATAAATTAAACACTTGCTTTGAAATTATTCTAGCACAGAAAAGAGCATATTCTAAACACTACATACTTAATAATTAGTGCTGACTGAGGTGTTTACAAAGTATGTCAGGAAAAAAATATAACTACTGAAAAAAAAGGTCAAAACAAAATTTCCTCTTCATTCAAAGCAGGAAATCATTTTGAAAGTATAGTTCCAAGATTGTAGATATGAACAAGAACCATAAATTAGCAGATGGAGAGAATAGTACATAAAGGGTGATTAAATGATTAGTAATAGCTAACTTATTAGTAAGGTTGAGTAAAACCAAAAGCCTTGTGAAAACAATAGTATATGGAGAAGATGTACTTATGAAAGTTGAAGGTTGCAGGGATGGAAGGGGGTATTAGTAGAGGTGGTTGCTAGGCTAAAAATATGAGGTAAGTTTCCCTCCGAGGAGTAGAAATGGATGTACAGAGAAGTCCACTCACCTCAAAGACATTGCTAGTCTTCATTACTGCGCACATGTGTTTGCAATGCTAGAGAAGCTGATATACATTCTCCGCCTTTCAACAGGAGAAAAAAAAAAATCATTAGAAGAGTGAACAAGGAGAAAGAGAAGGTGAAAAAAAAGATGGAAACTCATTAACATGCCAGAATGTAAATACTATCTTCTCGCATGAGTCTCTTCTGCATATACCTAAAGTAAATGTAATCTCCAGGTGAAGCCAGTGATCTTATCTCTTGTTTTCAACAGTTCAAAGCATCCCCAAAGGGGCATGAAAAATTAGTCTCATTGTTGTTATCTTATCTTACTTAAGAAAATGTAGAATTGATGAATTTAAAAAGGCATTGTGCCTGTGCGATAAGAAAGAATTCCTTCATGTAGGATAAGTAGAATCCTAAAGCTATAAACCTTGAAAAATTTTATTTGAAACGTCCAAAAGATTAAGTGACCTACATCAACAATATGTTCTGAAAATTCTTAACATCCCCGTTGATATTTGTAAAGTATATGTACAGATCAGGACAGACTGGTCCAGTTGAACATCTGAAATTGACACTTGTATTTACTGACAAGAATTCCACGGTCTGTCCTTTCAAACAATCTCTACCTTTAGACAGAGGGATTAGAGGACTACAGCAAGAACAATTTGAGAACTGCTTTTGTTCTTGTGACACATAACTCATTCAAGTCAGTTGCATTATTTTTACAGTCAATTTCTATAAGCTTTTTGGTTTTTTTTTTTTAAAGGAAATAAATATGAACAGGAAATAAATATTTTTAAAGCATCTGAGATAAAATAATAGTGTATCTGATGGAAAATAGAAATTGATCTCTTTTTTTTTTTTTTTTTGCTATTCAGTTTTGCTATATTCACATTTATTTCTCTGCATGCTGTGAGCAGAAATCTCTACATTGATGGAGTGAGATTCTTGCACAGCTATGCTAGATCCCAGTCAATCATTATAATTTCTGCCAGAGTCTAGCAAACTATAGTGCAAGTGCTTCAGAATGAAAACTTCACTTGTATCATGCACAATACTATGTGCTTCTTCTCTATGGAAGAAATAGATATGGGAAGCCAAGTAAAATAGAAATTTCAACCAAAATTTTCTACAAGGGATCAAAAAGATGCCTTGGCCCATTAGCTTCATAAATTAGGTGATCTGTTCCTGCATTTTCTACCAAAATGTATGGAGGAACCTCTTTGGAAAACTTCTAAATATAGTTAGGAGGTGGATACGAGCTTTGTACATTACATCTGTTCAATACATTTGTATTTCTTTGTAAAGAAATAACAAAACACTGTTTCAAGAAGTATCTACATATAAGTATGAAGTGATAGAACTTATTAGCTACATATAAAATAGTTACGTTTCAGCAATAATCATGAAAGCATATCTAGAATCATAGAATCATGGAATGGCCTGGGTTGAAAAGGACCACAATGATCATCAAGTTTCAACACCCCTGCATGTGCAGGGTCACCAACCACTAGACCAGGCTGCGCAGAGCCACATACAGCCTGGCTTTGATTGCCTCTAGGGATGGTGCATCTGCAGCCTCCTTGGGCAACTTGTTACAGTGCATCACCACTCTGTGTGAAAAATTTCCTCCTAACATCTAACCTAAACCTCCCCTGTCTCAGTTGAAAACCATTCCCCCTTGTCCTATCACTATCCACCCTCATAAACAGCCGTTCCCCCTCCTGTTTATATGCTCTCTTCAAGTACTGGAAGGCCACAATGAGGTCTCCTCAGAACCTTCTCTTCTCCAAGATAAATAAGCCCAGTTCCTCAACCTTTCTAGATCTAGGTGATGAACTGTAATCATCCTTCCAAAACTCATGAAAGAGTTTGATTTTTATTTATTTATTTACTGAAAGCTTCGGGGTGAACAAGAAACATGTGTTTGAATTCTTCACGCTGTTTATTTTGGGTGAAGTTGAAACAGTAGATGACTTTGCTGTCATTGTAGTTTGTGATGAGTTAGTGAAATGCATTCAGTGACCTGTAAGGCTATCCTCAAAGCACAGTCAAAATGATTATTAAGGTCTACATTCCACGCTGACTTGTTAAAATAAAAAGTCCTGCTAGGCCTGCTACTTTGTAACTTACACAATTCCCTGTAGAAAAAAAAAGAATATATATGTATATTCTTTATAATAAAATTATACCTATCAACACCTAAAGGAAAAAAGTAAGAAAGTTTTTGGTATATATTTAAGTCTTCTACACTCTGAGTTGGGATAAGAACACAAGTTTACTAAGACTTGAATTTAAGTTTAACCTTAGTTTAAGCCTTTTTTCTTGGGGCTACTGCTTGGTTATTCTTACTTGCTTTGCTTACTTACTCTTCCTTCCCTTATAAGGGCATCTTACGGTTTTCAGCAGCTTGTTATTATACTTTGTAAGACTAACAGGTTACTTTGTTGCTAATGCAAGGTACCACACAAAAGGAGAGTTAAATTAGTGCCTGAAGTGCCTTTAACAGTTAGTTCAAGAAAGAAAAAGCCAACAATTAGATTAAATATCATATACAGCACAGTAACTGTCACGATACATCACTGTCGTGTTACAGAAAATTCTACTTGGCATAAGCCTGCACTTAAACTATAAAATAATGTATAAAGTCACAGAAAATCTAAATAAGATTTAACCTGGTACAGGGTTCTTCATCTTGATCTGCAAGATCAAGTTATATCAGCAAAATATGTCATTGTTACATTTTAAAGCATATTTTATAGCACATTCTCCAAAAATATTGCTTCCTAGCAGCAGATCAAACAAAGTGACAGTGAGGAAAAGTACATTTATTTCCCTTTTCACTTTGGTGTTAGGAGGTTTAAGTATACTACAGAACTTCTCTTGGGCTTTCTCCTTCTATGGAAGGAATGGAACAGATATTATCTACTCTACTGCTTTGCTACAACATTTCAAATCTTACTTAGAAAGGATAGCATTAGAGAGATTCATCACTTTGCACTTTAAAATGATGTTTTAGCTATTCCACTTATTTCTGACAGTAGAAATTAATGATCCTTCTATTTTCTTTTTCATTTGGTCAAGTTTAGCTTACTATCACTCTGGTTGCAGTACTGACTGTACTTTAAACATCCTTTGTACATGTCTTATTACTGGCCAAGACCTAAGCTGATGTCTGGCATCTTTCAGGGCAGATCAGTCAGCTCTCCAAAGCATTGAGGCTTTTCTGAAAGCTTTGGAAAAGCCTGATACTGGGCTACTCGAGTGGTAGTTTCTTCTCTTTAAGAACACTCACTGGGATTAGAAAGAAACAGTCTCTGTGGGTAGCTCAGTTTAACATTTCCTCCAAAACATCTGCTGCTTGAAACCAAGGATGGAAGAATTGCAAATGAGAGAGAATATGGGTCTCATCTATGTCTGTGTTCCTGAAGCAACATGCCCAAAACCACTAGCAGAAAAAGGATTCAGTCCATAGAAAAGAATGCAATATTTAGAGCAATACGCCTTCATTTACAGTATTTGAATCTATCTACAGTCAACATTTTCAACAGGATGTATTTACCTGTTTATGACTTAACGATAATCCTTCACTTCTACTTTTTATATAGAAATATTTAATTACAAAGTAGGTGTCTAAATAAAACCTCTTGACTGTAACAACCTTAATGGAGAAGCAAAGATAACAATATTCTTTATTTCCCCAAAAAGATTGTGACCTGTTGAAGTTATCAGATAATATCAGGCTTAAAGGACATTAAGAGTCAAGAGAGCAGACATATCATTGAAAGCTGGTGGCAGCTCCAGGAAACTTTTGCATCAAATATTCTACATAATAATGTGTGGTGATATCCATCTCAAGACTGCTGCTATGACTGTGAAATAAACTCTTATAATGTACACAGGTTAAAGTTGTAGAGAAAAGCAGGGATACAAATCAGTTTTAGAGTTCTGTCACTCGAATCGCAGTGTCAGAATTGTAATGTGATGCTTATCAAAAAATAGCATCTGTAGAACATCTCTCTAAGTTTCATGATTTTTGGAGTTACCAGGAAGTTTTATACTGAAAAAATATTTTTCTTTCTGGTTACTATAGTAGAATCTGCCCCCTTTCCCCCCTTTATGTTCTTCTAAAGTATAATGTTTACTTCTCTGTAGTTGGCAGAATAAATTGTTCTGCAAATACAGCAATACGGTAACACTGCAATGCTTGTTTGCAGTTCCTACAGGTGACACTCACATTCAAAGGCAAATAAAATATTTTTTTGTCTCCACATTGCTACCACAGTTTTTCATGGATAAAGATGACCTCGTGGTAAGGCACTAGACACTGTAAACAATGTGGTAGTGAAAGGGACAGATCAAGTGCAACAAGAGAACTGGCGCGTAAGTTTTAGGATAAAAACGTTGCTTGGATTTTATGAGACACAGAAGAGAAATTCTTACTGACTGACTTAGACTATTCAGAAGACTTCTGTCAAAATGTTTCCAGTCACTTTTGAGATCTAGATAAAATTTTATATAAATGACTTACACAGCTAAAGAAAAATTTCTAAAAGTATCTTCATTAATAAAAATTGTGATAAATGGAGTAGGATTTACACAAGAGAGAATTTAAAGCAGAACTTAGAAAAGCACTATAAACACACATGGGTTTATAAAAGCTGAAATATACATCAGCAGCTATGAAAATAATCTGAAGAAAATAAGTGATGCACATTTCATATTCAGTCACTGGGGAGAATTATTTTTCCTAAAGGAAAGTTTATGATGCACAATTGACATTAAATAGATCTCAATTTCTGATTGTTGTGTGATTAACTCTCTTGCATAAAGGCCCTTCTATATTTCTTCAAGGATTTTTATGTCAAAAATCAGTCTGAAACCTTTTTAAATCACCAGAATAACTACCTGGAAATGAATTCTCATGGATGTTAGTTGTTACTAGATAGACAAAATAGGTGGAACCATTCCTTATAAATGCTTTATTTATTCTCCCTAGCTACAGTTTCTACCTAACTTGCTGAAAATCCTTCTCTATGAAGCAAGTCCTATTGATTTTTAATGAGCTAAAGTTCTG